ATCGATTATCATTCCACCCATTTATCATTCCACCCATTTATCATTCCATCAATTATCATTTCAACCATTCATCATTCCATCCATTTCTCATTCAATCGATTATTAGTTCTATATATTTATCATTTAATCCATTTATTGTTCCATCCATTATTATTCTATCAATTTGTGATTCCATTCATTTATAATTCCATCCATTTATCATTCCATCCATTTATCATTTTGTCCATTTATCATTCATCTATTTAACATTCCATCCATTGATCATTCCATCCATTTATCATTCCATCTATTTATGATTTCATACATTTATCCTTCTATACATGTATAATTTGATCAATTTATCATTCGATCAATTTGTCATTTCATCCATTTATCATTCCATTCATTTATCATTCTAAATTCTAAAAAATATCATTCGATCAATTTATTTTTTCAACCATTTATCATTCTATCAATTTAACATTTGATCAATGTATCATTACATCGTTTTTTCATGCCATCCATTTATCATTTATCACATAATCATTCCATCCATTTATCATTCAATCCATTTATCATTCCATCCATTTATCATTTCATACATTTATCCTTCTTTACATTTATAATTGATGAATTTATCATTCGATCAATTTGTCATTTCATCCATTTATCATTCCATTCATTTATCATTCTAAAAATATCATTCGATTAATTTATCATTTCAACCATTTATCATTCTATCATTTTATCATTTGATCAATTTATCATTACATCGAATTTTTTCATGCCATCCATTTATCATTTTATCACATAATCATTCCATCCATTTATCATTCAATCCTTTTATCATTCTATAAATTCATCATTTTATCCATTTATCATTCAATCCTTTTATCATTCTATAAAATCATCATTTCATCCATTTATCATTCAGGAAATTTATAATTTCATCCATTTATCATTCCACCCATTTATCATTTTATGCATTTATCATTTTAGCAATTTATCATTCGATCCATTTAGCATTCCATTCATTATCATTCTATCCACTTATCTATGCATTCATCTTTCTAAACATGCACAATGTCTTTAATCAACAATTTTTAAAGGCAATACACCTTTTCTTCTTTTCTTTAGCCCATATAATGAAAAAATAATAATTCTTATTCCCCTGGACCAATCCAGGTTGGAGACGATAACTGATAATGCCTATATTAATTCTAAAATAATAGAGATTTCTTGTTAAAAAATAATCTCTATAGTCTTTAGACCAATTAACTGTCACTGAAATATTTACAAAGACTTCTCACAGCCAAAGAAAACTAACAGACACCAGCACTCAAACAACAACAGCAATGAAAAAAAAAAGCACAAACGGCCTTGTCTATATCAATATATACATCCGTGTGTGCTTGTTTGTGTGTGTGATATCAACTTTTAAATTTATTTTTTTAAAAAACAACTAAGCTTATCAACATGATGTTTAAATGAAATTTTTTTACAAATGTTCCATAACGTTTTCAGAGATATACAATTTCTTTTGATGAAAACCGTTGTGTTTGTTTTAGTCATTAACGCTTTCTGAAAATATTCAACTTTTCAAGTAAATGCTAGATGTAGTCATGTTTAGAGGTAATGTTTATGCCAGATAGGGTTATATTTTTTTTTCTATGTATACTTTAACATATTAGAGTTTGAATTTAAAATGATTGCAAAAATATTCTATAAATATAAACTAACGACAAAATAAATCAATAAACATTAAAATAATGAAACGCTGTGCATTATTTTTAAATTATTTAAATTCTGTCGATGAAATATTTAGCTTGTTTTGCTGAACATGCCTTTCTAAAAAAAAACTTTTGGCTCGAAACTCGACGTTCATGAGCTTAACCAAGTTTCTTTTCCTTCATGAGAAAAAAAGGAGAATAGAACATTTTTTTTCCACATTGACGTACCTGAAGTTGTAATCGAACTCTGATGGTCTTTTTGGAAAATCAATAACATAATTTTTTGACTAAAAAAAAAAAAAAAAAAAAAAAAAAAAAAAAAAAAAAAAAAAAAAAAAAAAAAAAAAAAAAAAAAAAAAAATAAAAAAAAAAATTTTTGAAAAAAAAAAAAAAAAATTTTTTAAAAAAAAAAAAAAAAAAAAAAAAAAAAAAAAAAAAAAAAAAAAAGAGAAAGAAAAAAAGAAAAACGTGAAATTTTAAAAGCGCGATCTTTAAATTTTACCGTCCCATCATTCTTAAATTTAAGTAACTCATCCTGAGACTGCAGTGGGAGTTTCATTTTCTTGGGTATAATTTTTTGGCACTTTATGCAAGAGATTATAAGATTACATTATATAACCCTTTGTTAACTGGACACTTAGGTCAAAATACACGTATCTCTATAACAACATACAGCATGCCCTGTTGGTTTTTTTTGATGGTGGACACTTTGGTATTTTTTTGCAAATTCTTATGATTCTTGGTGTTAACGTGTGCGTCAAATTCACTCTCTGATGGACTCCGTTTTATTTATTGGTGATTGACTAGAAATTGTCATTACCATCATGGAATTATTTTATTGACTTCATTCAGATGTGCTAAAAAAAAAAGCCATGTCTGCAGGTTTGACCCGTTCGTTATATCTTCGATAGGATGGTGTTGGTCCAGAATTTCAGATTAATTAGATCTTGACTGACCTCATGGTGCATCTCAGATAATTGTGTTTTAAAGCTTGTAACGAGCATCATATGTGGGGTGATGATGTTACTTGTAGATTTGTAGTTACCAGATGCACTAATCATCCACAGTTACATATGTCCATGATTATCCAAACAAGTACAAGGGAACTCCTTGACTTCGCACCACGATATTTATAAACTAATCAACGTACACATAATAAAATAATTTCTTTGTAGCTCAGAGCAAAATATAGTTCTTCACATAACTTCTTCCACTTCACAAATCAACATTAATATGCTGTTTAATAACTAATTGACCATAGCAAGGGCTAAAGAAAACTTTTCCAACCGTCACTGTGTCGATTTCTTCTATCCTACAATCCCTTAACTTCCTGTTCTTTCTACTTAACAAAACAATACATTATTTTCCGAAACAAAATTGATATCTAAATATTTAATCTGTGACAAAGCTTAACATCGGATATTCGCCGATACCAATCTCTGATATTTCATTGGTCTATCTTTGATATGTATTTATTTAAATATATTGTATGTGAGTGGTGGCAAACTCAAGCTGTAATCCGAGCATCACAAATTCATTACTTTCATTACTATCGTACGATTATGGTAATCTATTTTCGGTAAACCATATGTTGCCATATTTCCTGATTGAACGTACAATATAACGTAACATAATAGCAGATGATTTTCAAATGGTGAATGTTTGTTATAAATCAAACAACATCAATAAATATATATATATATATAAATAAAGAATGTGCTTTTGGTAGTGATTGGGGCGGATAAAGATGACCTAGTACACAGTCATGTAAACATGAATATTCTATGCAAATAGATACACACATATTTAATAACTGGCGATTAACCAGGTGCAGTATATTACACCGGAACCGGGTATTTTGAGAAAATACTCAAGGGGCAAAAGTGGTTTTTTTTTTAAAGTTAACGTCTCATTTTCTATTATATATCCCGAACTTTAAAAATTATTTTAAAGGCAGTCCTACACTCAACCTGCCAGCCTTTAAAAAATAGTCTTACAGACAGCCCTACAGACAGTCCTGGATCATACCTGTGGCACTTTATTGATTTATATTTCATATTTCATCAATTCATTTGGAAATGAGCTTAGTCTAAAAAAATTAGATGGAAGCTAAATCTAAGGTTTACATCTAAAAACAAGACACACATTGTAATGTATAATAAAAAAATAAATTTTAACAACAATCATAAAAGGCGTATACTTTTATTTAAGTTAAATTTACACACACACAAAAAAGCTGTTTCCACCTTAAACCAGCGTGAATATGCTAATCAAAGTAAGTGATTTGTCTGCCACTTGTTAGGAGTAACTCACTTTTCTTATCCGTAGAGGGCTGCAGGTTCGCCTGTTGTTTAATTCAGGCTAACGAGCTTCAACTAATTTAAGTCTAATGGCATGTTTAAATGTTGACCAGGATTCAAACCCCCATCTATGACGACGACCACATACAAACAACCATGATGTCCGGCTAGGGATACATCTAGCAAAATGTTCTCACCCCCTCTCTGTCTCTCTCTCTCTCTCTCTGACTCTTTATTTCAATCATTTCACCTCTGAACATAAGGCAAATGCAGCTAGTGAATAAATATAAAAACAACTACCTCTGCTATCTACAAGGCTTGAACATAGAGTGCGTTTTGTTTAATGATAAAATAGGAAATTAAATATTAATTGAAGCAAAACGCAGTTTCAAGTATTATAAGATGAATCATATTTCAAATTATTATAGTAATATTTTAAAAAAAAACAGACGAAAAGATTGCTTATTATCATTTTATTGAATCATTGAGCAAACTATTAAGCGATTTTAACATTCATTAAGGAAATCTAAATAGTATAGCATAAAGCTGAAGATGAAAAGTAATACATAAGCACCCATTACCATATTTAAGAACGGCTTATAATGATTTATTTAGCAATAAAGCATGGTTACAGCTGCAATGTATTTCCAAGGCTTCCATTTAGGGAGACACTTGGGGCGAGTATGATGTTGTGGTCAGAAGTAAGTCTACAGTGGATATCTGTAGTGGATGCCTGAAGTGTGTGAAATGGGCATCTAGAGCGGATATCTGTAGTGGATGCCTGAAGTGTGTGAAATGGGCATCTAGAGTGGACACCTGTAGTGGATGTCTGTAGTGTTTGGAATGGACATCTAGAGTGGACATCTGTAGTGGATGTCTGTAGTGTTTGGAATGGGCATCTAGAGTGGACATCTGTAGTGGATGTCTGTAGTGTTTGGAATGGGCATCTAGAGTGGACATCTGTAGTGGATGTCTGTAGTGTTTGGAATGGGCATCTAGAGTGGACATCTGTAGTGGATGTCTGTAGTGTTTGGAATGGGCATCTAGAGTGGACATCTGTAGTGGATGTCTGTAGTGTTTGGAATGGGCATCTAGAGTGGATGTCTGAAGAGGATGTCTGAAGTAGAAGTGTGGTGTGAATAACTAAAGTATATGTACAAATGGATATTTTGAGTAAATGTCTGAAGTGGATTTATCCAGTTAATGTTTTGACAGAATGTCTGAAGGATAGATTAAGGTATTCTTTAAAAAAAACACATAAAAAGTACACATTTTTTAAAAAATGACTCTGATTAAATTGTGTACCGACATCATACCAACAATAATAGAGTTGGAGGAAGGAAATACTATTTATACATAACATTTCACATAATTAACATTTATTATATACATAATTATTCACATATTTATGTCATCAATTTTTTAATGAATCTGGGGCAGAAACTTTTAATATTGAAAACGTTTACGGGGCAGATGGAGGTAAGTATACGAACACGTCAAGCTGTTAAACAATAACATGCGCTATTAATGGCGAGATGACCATAATATATTTTTTTTTACGCGGCTTCGCATTTAAGTAGTAAGTAACAACAATTTAAATATATTTAAAAAAAATTCAATTAAAATAATGTCTGTGCATTTATTAAGTTAACCAGCATTTACGTGTTGAATATTGGTAAGGTGCAAGTGTCTGTTGAAAGACTTTTTAATAATTCGATGAAACTAGTGTGATAACGAGAGTTTCCTATTCTTCTAGGCAACTCTCGCCCCATCTGAGTAGATTTATTGAATCGTAATCAAGTGGTAAATACTTTTTAAAAACCCTTAAAAACGAAGTTCATCGTATAAATCCTGTCTATAAATTTTTGTTTCCATTTATGTGATTGTCCGTGATTTATCATTGATTAAGTAGCGGTTTTATAAATGGCTAAACTTCTTTGCAAAACAAATTTTCCAATTTCCTCCCTGCTGCCCTTCAAAAATACACGTTATTTTTACAGAATATCAAAATATTGTACAAATGCAAAGCACATAGCAGCGGTTACACAATTCATCTTCACATATAAAAAACGCAACCATCAACCAAATCACATTTCGTTCAACTTCCCTTTGAAAAACGGGAACAACTGATTTTGGGAGGTTGTGGTGAGGTCGGGGGTGAACATTTGACAGAATGTGTTGTTTTTGGCAACAATGCCATGTGAGCCAAGTTTCAATTCGATACGAGGACGGAAAGTGGGTCAATTAGGCGTCCGCAAATTTGCCACAAGCACAGATACACACGAACAAAATTTACTTTAATAAAAATATACAATAATATTAATATATTAATACGTTAAAATAAATACGCCAATAGTTACAAAATGAAACATTTTTTCTAAGAGAATTTTGTTGGCTTTTATGAATCACCCTAGTAAGTTATTTATTTTACAAAATCGTTTACGAAACAAAAGTTTATTGAATAAGACACTCAATTTTAACTTTATGTATTCAACACAATTTTAACTTTATATATTCAACACAATTTTAACTTTATGTATTCAACACAATTTTAAAATTGCAGCACGTACTTGATATTTTAAAATTATATTTGCATTGCTATGACTTTAAAAAATTTTTTTGCGAATATTAACATATGAAATTATCGGAGATATGCATGCATCATCGAATAAAAAATAATTATACTAGCTAAAGCATCCGTCCTTCAATACCGGGTCGAGATGCCATGTAACTGTTTTGGGGACGTTATAAAACATTAGTAAATTTCAGAAGTTTAGTTTTATAGAGATGGAAGCAATTGTTTTAAAAATATATATTACCTTAATCTTTTGTCGTTTTGAATACAAATACTCGTTGATATGCAGTTTACGAATTATTCTGTAAATACTTTTTTAAAATATAAAAATCAAATCAGATTATGATAGTTTTGATATAGTTGTATAACTTTCACATAGTTAAGGAACTCTCATTCTTAATAAATCATAGTGATATTGATAGAAAGGATATATGAAAGTAAAGGAATTCAGTTTAAAAAAACAATAGAGCAACTGTACATTTTTATTTTATATATATATATATCATAGGTAAATCTCAGATATGTAAATATTTCCTATGTAAACCTCATCAAATGCTCCAACACACAGGTTCCTAAAATTATCTGTAGCTTCTGTCTATGACTTATCGGTACCTTTTATTTGTTCCTTAAGAATTTATTTTTTTCTGCACCCTAATGACTTAAGATTAGAAGATATAAATGAAAGGACTGCTTTCAAGCTTAGTAAATGAATGAAATAGTGAAACGAGGTATGTGGAAGCTTGAAATAAGATGACAGGACAAAAAACAAGGACGTTTCGGCATAAAGCCTTCCTCAGTCAACAATAGAAATGAAAATAAAACAAAGAAAAGAGCACAGTAGACAACTCAAGCAGTATTCATTCGTGTCTCCGGAAGTCCTTGTTTTTTGTCCTGTTATCTTATTTCAAGCTTCCACATACCTCGTTTCACTATTTCATTCATTTACTAAGCTTGAAAATGAGATAATATTTTCATCATATAGTTAAACTGGGCGATAATACCCTGGAAATCAAGAAATTCTCCGGAAATTGGGTCAAAGCGTTGATCAGCTTTTCCAAGACCTGGCTTCCTTGGTGGTATCTTCCGAGACCTGTTTTTTGTCTTCTTTGGTGGTATGTTCCAAATTCATGTTTTTTAAAATAAATTAGTAAAATATTCAAGCTTTTATGGATATAATTTTACAAATATTAAGCAATTATATTACACTTTTTTGGGGCCTCCCTTACAGATAAATATGTATAATTTTTAAAATAATTTTTAAAAATATATTTAAAAATGTATATTTATAACATTTAAAAGAGCTGTAAGTAAAAGATTAAAACAATATTATTAAAATGTTTATGGCATATCTATTTATTAACGTTTAAATTGATCTTCTGAAAAGTAGCACAGTATAAGTGTTTAAGTCATATTACCGTAAACATTGAAATTGTGATCCTGCAATAAAATGGTGAAACACGTTAGTTTAATGACTCTTGCATCTGAAAGTGAAATGAGAAATTCATCACTATTTAGAATATATACATAAAAAATAATATTATATGAAATAACAATAATTTTTCACACAATATATTATGTAACAGATAATACAACAGCACAGTTAAAACATCAAAAATATGAATTATTATTTAAGAGAAATTAACATGTTACCATACTTTAAAGTTATTTAAACAAAATATCGTTTAATAAATATTTATAATTAAGGCACAACTATACTATTCACTATATAAAATACGTGGTAACAGTGGCCAGTATCTGCTTGTTACATGACGGACAGTGGGTGAGCAGTTTGGAGCAGTCAGTGCACGCGTAGAGGTCGCCACAGGGCAGGAACAAATCTCTGACCTGTGACTTGAAGCAAACTTTGCATTTCAGTTGTCCTTCCAGTTTTTCATTTTCCTTCTTCAGTAAAGTGACCGTGAGCTTTTCCTGGGATAAAGAGGGTTTGGATTCTGAAAGAAAGAAAAAAATATTTACATTAAAAATGTATACATAAGGATATTTTAACTTCATTTAATGTACTTTTACTTATTTAATTAAGTCATATAATCAATTAATTATTAAAACATTTCTCTTAGTTAATTATAGGATAAAAATGTAAAAGATCAAATGATTTGTTTCGTATCGTAATACACAATGCTAGCTTTGTAAATATTACAGAACATTTTAAACCATTATTGTGTGTTATGTATAGCGTTGTATAATTGTGTTACCTATATTAAATATAATATATAAATTCATGTACTTAACCATTATATACACAAGATGAAACCCGACTAACAAAACATACATTTTTAATTCGCAAAAATTAAGTCTAATAATTATTATTTTTATTTTAGTGTTATGAAGAATACGAACAAACCAGACATGGTTATAGTCTATACCAGGGTCAAAAGCTAGTAGCAAAAGTAAAAATGCTGGGCAGGACACTTAGAAAGAATGTCAGATGACAGAGGAGTGAAGAGGATACATCATCAAAACTCCAGAGGAAAACGGCTCAACGGTAGACCTAGGTTTAGATGGATGGATGGACGATGAAAGAGATCTATAGCAGCTGGGAATGAAAGCATGGAAAATAAAAGCATCAATTAGGTCTGAGAGCAAGGAAGAAGTGAGGCAGGCCAAAGCCCTACGCGGGGCCGTAGCAGCTACAAGGAAGGATTGGATGGTATGAGTGGAAAAAAAGTGTTGACGCCGAACAAAGACCTACATGGGCTGTAGGGCCACGGGGATGAAAGGATGGTTCAGTGTGCTCAAGTTTAATTGATTATATCAGTTTGTTTACCCCAAAACATTACTTTGATGCTTTTAAAAAAATCAATGCTTTGTGCAGGAATCTATGCCAATTTAACACCAAAAAAAAACATATATAATTCAAAAGATAACTTTAAATAGAAATAATAAACCAACAAACTTCACCTCAACGGCACAGGTCTATGTATGTCTACGTATGTCTTTGTATGTCTATGTCTATGACAATAAAGTTAAAGAAACATTTGATTAGATGCAATACACTTTAATATAGGTTTAATAATAACGGAAGTCAAAGATAATTTGTGTTAAAGAAAAAAGATATGTTAAACTATTTCATGTATAGTTTTTCAAAAGGGGTGAGTCTTTTTGATGAAAACATAAAAGGAAAGGAGGTTGGGGGGGGGGGAGGAGGAGTTCTTTAGAAATTATGTTTCAGCTAAAAGACCAGAAGTCGACTTTCGATATCTGCAGTTGTGGACATTTAAAAAAAAAAATAAAGTTGTTGTAAATAAATCCAAAAAAAAAAAAAGATAAATAAAAAAGGGGGGGGGGGAGGAGGAGTTCTTTAGAAATTATGTTTCAGCTAAAAGACCAGAAGTCGACTTTCGATATCTGCAGTTGTGGACATTTAAAAAAAAAAATTGTGTTGTTGTAATTGAATCCAATAAAAAAGAAAGTTAAATAAACATGAGTAATAGTTATGAAACATGATAGATGCTAAAGCTAAGGGGCTACATAACATTTAATAAGCATACAAATCTGGATTTATAAAAAATTACAGAGTGTTTTACAATAATTATATATAACTCGAGGAAACCTTAAAAAAAATTCATTTGAAAACTTATTCAGGAGGAGGACTTATAGAAATAAGAACTCACCAGGGGCCGTTTCTTTATTTATCACAGCACTTCTGTGTGCCTGCGAAAATGGGCAATTCGGTCTGTGTTTTTCATGTTGAGCATAGACATCATCTCCTGGCTTCCAGGACCTCAGACCAAGTCCACACTGAAAGCACCGGACGCAATCCGCATAGCCTGGAGTGTGCAAATGCAAAAAAAAAAAAAGTCACAGTGATCGTGTCGTATTCATGTAGTTTAAGTATGATTTTTTTTTAAAGAAAGGTAATTAAAAAAAGAAACTTATGTTAATTTAACATTCAATCTTCGGTCCGCAGTTACTTGTAATACCTTTTAATGCAGTTGCAAAATCCTTGAGAAGACAGCATTCAATTGAAAATAAGGGTAGCTTTACAAAACAATTGGTTTACAACACAGGTTTCCAACTATTTCAAGTAGCCACACCACAATATATCCAAATAAAGTATTTAATGGCATTTTAATTTCTAAAAGAAAGCACAGCAAACATGATTAATTAAAAAAAGCTCATTATAATTTTGACCTGTGACATAAGTGAAAGGTTACAAATAAATGAATAAACAGTCATGGATAGTCAGTGTTTAATTTTAATTATTGTTAACTTCTTTATTATAGCTACATCTTTTGTTAACACTAGATGAGGCCTCGAAATTCCTTTCAGGCGGAGATATGTAGAGAGGAAAGGCCAGTGTCATGATATTGCTGGGACTTCAATTCCGCTAAATGGTTTGCTATACGCAGCCGTCCGGACATCGATTTCATGGGAAGACTGCTTTAAAATCAATCATTTTATTTAGTTGTCTTTTTGAGCCGACGACCCCCCACATACAAATAGGGTCACCCACCACCCATGGGGTAGGGAACCTGAGGTCTATGACATTTACCTGCATAGAAAAATCCCGCCAATGCCAGCGAAGATGGTCTGTGTATATGGCCATACTCCCAATTAACAAAACTCTCTAATCTCTTTTGATACGCTATGTAAACCGGGTAGGATGGATGTGTGAGAACTTTAAAGACGGGCGATGTCACTTCCTGGTTCTTGGTACCATCATCATCACTGTCGTCGTCTTGATGCGTCTGGTTAGTCGAGCTTGTCTGATGAGCAGTGGTAGCCGACTCAAAGTCTTCTTGGGTGTAAGCTGGACATCAAACGATAATTTCATTACGGTTAAAAAAAAAATCAAAACACAGTGGTACTTACAGTAAGTAATTATTCTCAAACCTACATTCAGATGAAATCTAACTTACAAAGCAAATGCAAATTTCAATAAAATTATTCCAAATCGTCCGATACGATTACAACTGTACTTAAATTTTAATGTTCAATAAGCATTTAGTTTGGAAATCTGTATATATTATTTTAATCTTGTATTACTTAATATTTATTTATTTATTTAGGCATTTTTATATAGCGCTTACCTTAAAGCTCAAAGCGCTCTACAATTATTAAAAAAATGTAAACTAAGTAAAATAAAAATGAGAAACCAGAAACACTAGGATAGTAACTACTATACTATAGAAACGATTAAAATGGCTATAAAACGAGGACACTTTGGCATGTTTTGGCCTATACTACAGGATCAACCCGAGACAAAAAATATAAACTAATAAAGAAATTATTAATGGTAAATCAAATACTAAATTTAGTTGTAAAGCAAATATTAAATGTAATGATAAAGCAAAAATTAAACCTAATGATAAATCTTATGTTAAATCTAATGATAAAATGAAAGATTAAATTTAATGGTAAAATCAAATATTAAATGTAATGATAAGCAAAGATTACATCTGCTTGTTTCAAATTATCTGATCTTAAATTATTAATATAAAAACAACAACACTATCCTTAAGAATAAGATCAAATTTTGTAATGATCAAGGATTTCAAATAGTTTTTTTTTAAAAATCGATATTTTACTTAACAGTGAAACATGTGAAGCAAATATTTCAATCGATCTGTTTACCTTTCATAACGGATGCCCCGAGATTATTTGTTGCGTCGACTCCATTGTGCATCCAAATGTCTAAATCGTATTTCTGACTTCCGTCACTTAAAGTCTTTTTTTGAAAAGCGATGACAGGTGCACCTGATGACCCAGGACACGTGTCTGCAGCGTACAGCAGGACCTTCCTCACGTCATTGTACGCCGCAAGAAGGGACTCTGTGAGCGTGGTCAGACGCAGATCAGCAAAGGTGTAGATTATAACAATCTGTCATCATGTCTCATAAGTAACAAATTTTCAATTTTAACTGTGTACCATTGTAAAAAAAAAAAAAAAAAAAATTATCTTCTGATACTCGAAGGACTCTGTGAGCGTGGTCAGACGCAAATCAGAAAAGGTGTAGATTATAAAAATCTGTCATCATGTCTCATAAATAAAAAATTTTCAATTTTAACTGTGTACCATTGTAAAAAAAAAAAAAAAAAAATTATCTTCTGTTACTCGACTCTCATGTAATAATATCAAATATTTAAATCAATTCTTTACAAATATTTTGTTTAAAAGTGCAAAACTATTAGTTACATTAACTAAATAATTATTTTCGTTACAACATGTTTTATGGTAATAATACTATTTAACTCAATTGTACCTATATTGATTTGATGACCTATTTTCGTCAATTTCTTCCGGCCATTCTCTCCTGCTTTATCCACGACATACTTGATCATCACCGAGTCTCCGTAAGACAGAACTTTGTCTGACCCATGCGGATGGTGTATGATAAAAATCTTCTTCGTCATGCTCTGCTTGGCTCTGGCTGGTAATTTCTCCGCCAAGTCCAATACGTCATTTCTAATTTTAATCAAGCGATGAACAAACTCTCTATCTGAACATGAACATACCAGTATTACTGTGATTTCTGCTGCTACTCTGCTGAATAATATCTTCTCTCCCTTCAGAGTTGTGATTCCCCTACCATTGCTGTGATGAAACCTAAACTCGACGGTTGTGTTCTCGGCCTCGGTTTGATCGAAGATCAAGTGGCGATTCGTTCTGATGAAGATGAGATGCTTCTTACTATTACCGATAAATGGTACGAACCGCTTCATTGATTTTTCATCACTGGCGTCTTCTTTGGGCTCATCGAACATAAAACCAGACCCGTATCTCGGTGTTGTCCGACTTTCCGTCAAGCGGTCATCTCTTGGCCGATTTTTACTCGTAAACTTTACTGACAATCTAACGGTAAGATCTGAACATGATTGTAGAAATTTTAATGTAATAGAATCTCGAGTGGACGATGGTATTTGCTCTGGCTTAATCGAAATTGTTGGGAAATATGCGTAGTGACCGGTGTTTTTCTCACAATGTAAAACGTGCACTGGTGTCAGAATATCGCTGCTTCTGACAATTTCCGTGCATTCTGGTCTGACTGTGTCCGAATCATCTGTTTGGATTGAAAATAAAACTGATGTAATTAATACATTCTATAATTAGTGTTTTTGTGTATTAAAGAGTAGAAATTTGAATGTATTGGCAGAGTAAAATATTTTATCATCTAACCATCTAAAACCCAATTATATGCTTCAAATATGGTTAAATATGCCATCATTTATTGGCATCTTTTGAGAGTTCTAAAATTGGACGCTTTGTGATTGGTCAGTGTCAATCACTTACAGAAATAGTTTTCTCCGGGGTAATCGCCAAAATCGGATAAGTCAATACTTTTTGATGTCTTATTTCTTGTGGTTTCCTTGAAATCACCTAAGACAGACACAGAACAAAAATTCACAAAATTTTCGTGCAATTTCACTTAAGAAAAATAAAACGATTAAATTACAATTGAGGAAAAAATAAACATATATCACTGTAATATATTGTTATCAGGTTCAAGATAACAAACACCTAATTTGGTGCAGCGTTCACTTGCCCGACGACATAATTTTTCGATACATTTTTTCATCTCATTCACACAAAATAAGCTTGTAAGCTAAAATAAATGTCAAGAAACACATTAACTTTTTGTATCTGATGTTCGGAATGTTGTTTATTTGTGCTTGTGTTCCTAATTTCTTGTTTTGACGTTAACATTTAAACTGTGTCTCTTTCAATGCCAAACAGAAGTTACTTACACGCATTCGAAGCCCCTTGTTGGCACTCTTGAAATACTTGAGAACCCGCATTCGGTAGTTGAAATAATGACGTGTCTTCCCCAGAATTTCCACCTCCACCGTTGTCGAAAAAGGCTGCACTTTCCTCGTGGCTTTGATGCCCATTCGGCCGAACGTTCGGTTGTTCCGCCGCACCACGTGATGTCCGAATCTCTTGTTGAGAGGACGCGCAGCCGTCTGATTCAATATCGCCGGCTTCTTGAAAACCGTGAACGGGACTACTATTTAAAGGAGTAATAAACCGGCACAGTTCTTTGTGGTATCTTCTATCCGTGGGGTCACCCGTGACGGTGAAAATGTCGACCACTTGTTCGCAGCCCACACATTTTATTGAAGGGATATCGCCGAGATGGTAAAATCCAGATCCGGCCAGAGAAAACGTGGAAATGTGGAAGTCGGGGAGCACTCCGTGTCTGAATGTCGCAAGTCTCGTCATGTAGTCGTCTAATCTGTGAGCGGTGGGTTTGGTTCGCGCATAATTCTCCATTTTCCTATAACTAATGCTGTGTATTTATTGATCTATCTTTGTATTAAGTTGATGTGTTTTAAAATACTTTTAGTCCATCAATTTTTACTGTCTCAAAACATTGTACATTCCTTGAGATTTTCTCGTCATCAAATTATGTTTGCTCCCACGGATCTGTGACTTTCAGGTGCACACACTTGTTCATCTCTGAATAGCATCAAAGCACATCTAGGGACACAGACATATATATATATATATATATATATATATATANGATGAAATAATATCATTTCTTGGGTTAAAGGGAGAAAAAAGAGATGAGGTAGGTCAATGAGTATGTAAACGTTGAGAAAACAATGCAAGTAGTTTTTAGGGTAGAGTATGATTCTCTAAAAAGGTCATTTAAAAGTGTTTGATAAATAGCAAAAAAATAAATCCAGACATTAAAGAGAACAAGAAATAATATATATATTATATAATTTAAGTTTTGACACAATGTATAGTTTACGTTTTAAAATCATGTAAACCTTAAACACGAATTTAAAAAAAAATATTTTTTTTATTTTCCTTTATATATATTTTTGCCCCCTTTATTCAATTCTTCAATTTACATACTCTGCTCATGATTATATAGTACATAAATTAATTCACTTAGAACTATTTTAACAGCACATTCAAGTAGCTTACCCCATTACCCCTATTGCTGTAGAATTTTGATGAAGTCGATTTGAAGAGCAATTCCAATTTCTTCACAAACTTTTATTTTAAGCAGATGTTGTAAAACTGTACATTTCTATGTAGGCTTGACATGCTAATGGCGTTTTAGATAACATATATATATAGCAAATAGAGTCTAATAAAATAAATACAAAATATTCGTTTTAGGATGAGATTTTGAAAAACTCAGATTAACTAAATTTTACTTAATACAATGCAACCAAAAAAAAATGGTAAAAAATTAAAATTCATAAAAGATGATTCTTAAAGAAAACAAATCTTTAAGATTGTAATTGCTCTAAATATAATTTACAACTGAAGAAGGAAATTAATTCTGAGAAGAAAATATTTTGAGGAAAGAAAAAAAAAAAGCATTTTAAGTGTACATAACCAATGTGTTGTATATCGCATAAGAATTGTTCTGCATTTTCTGAAGGGAGTGATGTTTATGTCAACGAGAAAAGAAAAAAGCAAATATATCGTGTTCTACTCATGGACTCCACATACAATGTGTGTGTTGTTCCTCAGCCTCTCGGATTTTACCAGCGTGCTACCCCAGAGTGGTTTAAGTTTTATGGTTTGTGATTGATGATCTTCACGCCATAGAAATAATTGACACGTCTTGTGTTGTAAAATTGTATCTTTCTTTAAATATTTATTTACTAATGGACTGTAATGGAATAGTTACAATGTAAATTTAAAAAAAAACAACAACGTTTGGATCAATAAATAATCTTATCTTACATAATCAGAGCTTTGAAAACAAAATCAAATTGTATGCATTTTAAAAGGAACTATAGAATTTCATTTAGAGGCAAGTAAAAATAGATTACACTTTCTAGTTTAAAAAAAAAAAGAAGACCAATAGAGTAATAAAAATACTAATGAATTTGACATTTTCAAAATCCCAAACATTTTTATTAAAAGTGTCCCATAATGCAGGGTAAGCATTAATTGGTGATCTTTACAATATTTTAAAAATAATAATAATAATAAAAAATTCTTAAATAGCTATTCTCTTTTGGTAATAAAAACATTGTTCAAATTTCATAAAGCCCACGAATTACATTTTTAAAATAATGCTATGAAATCAAGCACAACCTGTCGACTTGTTTTCAATTACATTATCCATCCCTGTGGCGCTACAGCCCATGGAGTTCTTCGGCTTGCCTCACCACTTCCTTCCACTTAGACCTAAGTTATGCTATTTTTGTCCATGCTTGGATTCGCAGCTGATGTAGATTTTCCCCTTATCACCAATCCATCTAAGCCTAGGTCTGTCGCTGCGCCGTTTCTCTTTATATTGGACTAATGACTCCCGTCAAAACAAAATAATTAAAATTATTATTCAGTCTAAGGCATTATTTTAAACAACAAATATAGTGTCCCCCCCCCCAACCACCAGTTATCCTGATATTTGTATTATATTTAAACGGGATATTATTCAAATCAACAAAAAACGATGCCATAGTTTTAAGCATGAATCAACGTAAGTATTTAACAGCTAATTATTTTAAATAATAATAAGATTTTAAAATAATTTTGTAAAACGTGTCATTTCCCTTATTCATTTGATACATCTGTGCCATTCTCTCATGTAGGAATGGCTAGCAGGTGTATCAGGGAGGTAGAGATGACGATCTGCCTCACTATCATTAGTTCTAATAAATAGCTTAAAACTGTTTTTAAATTTTTATGACAGACTCATTCAGAATAGTTCGGTGTTGGTTAAAAACTTTAAAAATAATTATGAAAGGCTGAATAAATCGTAATTTAAAAAAAAACAAACACATTAAATTAATTACCTTGTATTTGTTGTTAAAATCATTATGCTGGAATCCGTCTGTCACAATGGTGTGGACTTCGCAGGACGAAATCCACAGGGGGGGAGGGGGGGGGCTAGGATTATTCTTCTAGGATTATAAGCTGGAGCCCACCATCAAATCGCCTCTCTTCGCGCCGCTGGATAACCCAAGGAAACATCCTGTGGATGCTACAGCTGGCGTCGCGGAGATATTTCTTTGTAACAATGATATATAATACAGAGCTTCCTTCCCTTAGATGAGTTTCCATCCAAGTTCAACGCGTCCCAGCCGCCAAGGGTGCTGTTTTGGCGTGACTGGACATTGGTGGGTATTGAACTCCACACCGTGAACTTGAGATTTGCTCAGTTTAGACCACTCACCACTCAGCCACCCAAAATCTAAATGACTCCTTGATAATTTGATTACTTTAAATGGCTCTTGGCGTCGATCATCTATCAGAATCTATCTGATATTGATGATTCTGTTGTTGTTTTTTTGTGTCGTTTCCGTGGTAAGTTGTCCACAACGTGAGATCTACTTTCTGGCGGTTCCCAAACTTTCATTTTCTTGGCAAACTGTTTTTTCTTTTTAGATATGTTCGGCCACTGTTAGCCAAGCAGTAATACAAATCTGTTTGGTTTTTTTTTTAAATAAAAAAAAAAGACGATGCAATATGTCAATTAATCTTTAATTTGGTTGAATCACTTCATATTTCTTCATGAAATAAAATTAACCGTTTTTATGAAGAATGCTATCTAAATGTAATTTTCCTCTTTTGCACAGAGTTCTAGAGAAATAAAATATTCATGAGACTATAATCTTGTCCAATCAATATATCAATGACACAACAAGGGATGAAATACAATGACCTGGTACTTTCATCATTAATTCTTTCTCCATTTCTTATTTACAACCAAAGGGGGCGTACTTCTTTTCTTTTCTTGTGATCTAGATCTCTTTTTACAGCTTGTGATCTAGTTCCCCTTTTACAGCTTGTGATCTAGTTGTAAATTTTTACAGCTTGTGATCTAGTTCCCTTTTTACAGCTTGTGATCTAGTTCCCTTTATACAGCTTGTGATCTAGTTCCATTTTTACAGCTTGTGATCTAGTTCCCTTTTTACAGCTTGTGATCTAGATATCTTTTTATAGCTTGTGATCTAGTTCCCTTTTTACAGCTTGTGATCTAGTTCCCTTTTACAGCTTGTGATCTAGTTCCCTTTTTACGGCTTGTGATCTAGTTCCCTTTATACAGCTTGTGATCTAGTTCTCTTTTTACAGCTTGTGATCTAGTTCCCTTTTTACAGCTTGTGATCTAGTTCCCTTTTTACAGCTTGTGATCTAGTTCTCTTTTTACAGCTTGTGATCTAGTTCCCTTTTACGGCTTGTGATCTAGTTCCCTTTTTAACGACTTGTGATCAAGTTCTCTTTTTACAGCTTCTGATCTAGTTCCCTTTTTACGGCTTGTGATCTAGTACATTTTTACTCCAGCAAACCTAGTTAGGTATAATCGACACTACAGAGAGGAAAATATCATCTTTTCTAAATGTCTAAATGGTAAACGTCTCTTAACTTCTTCCACAAAATGGACATTGGCCGTGTGCGTCAAAAAATTGACTATAAGGGCTTAACATAATTTAGTCTGCTATACATGGCCTTTAACCCAACACCGTCAATCGATATAAAAGATACTGTAGTCAAATGAAAAATAAAAACAAGCCCTACTTTTTAAAAATAAACAGCGATAAAGAGTATTAATAGGTTGCTTACCTTAACTGCTCTCCTCTTTTCCAGTAATGTGTACAACACGATATGATAATGACGTTATTCGTGTTGTGTGTAGCGTACGGACTCAGGACACAAACTACACTTAAAAATTTATGCAAAATAACACCGTGGAACTATCATACGCACACAAAACCTATAAAAGCTCCTTTCACTGGGATTTATTGTGTCTTGCATTTGTAGTATTTTTTGTTAATTTTTAATGTTCCCGTCTCTTTTATTATTTTTTTTTTTGGCTAGGCAAACAAAAAACAACACACTGAATGTGAGGTTAGGACTATACTAGAGCTGAATGCTGCAAAAAATGGGTCATAGTTGTAAAACCTACTTTAAAAAAAAATCACAATTTATTACACACATATAAATAATATCTTTGCATTCGGGAGATAGTTATAATTAATACGCAATTTTTAAATTAAAAAAAAAACAGAAATTAAAAATACACGCATGAATCGTATGGGGCGAATGTTACACCTAGGCTTGACCGAGGGAGGTTGGGGAAAGGAGTCTGTTGACCCTGCTTGTAGGGTTGCCGTGTTATCTAGCTGGGACCGCGTCAGGACACTCTTAGATGGGGGGTGTAGAAATAAAGTAGAGAACAATTATTTAATATAAATACGTGTAAGGTCCATAACAGTGACAGTCCGGATATATCGGGACGGATGGCAAACCTACCTGCGTGTTTGGAGGTGGTGGCGTCTTCGGCCAAAGGCAGAGGTGTTTCATGGAAAAAAGGGGTAGTCGGGGAGGGAATACAAATCTTGGCCCGCTCAAAGCGTCAGTAAACCTAGAAACCCTAGTTATCTCTAATCCCCCCAAAAATTTGACTAAATGTTTTCTACAAGGAGTTATAGTATGGCATTAATGAAAATAGTTTTTCTAAAAAAGCTTGAGTTTCCTGCAGTATGTTATCACATGACGCAACAAACAACTAATGGTTACTAATAAGAAAATGGACAAAGAAATTTTTAATGGGACAACAAAAAAACACATAATCTCACTGCAAGGCGAGGAAAATGCATTATTTGTAAATAGCGTGTAAAACATGTATACAAATTCTGAACTTTTTTTAAAATCTTTTTTTGCATACAATTATATTTTAAAAATATATACACTTATATTTAACAATTATATATACACTTATGTTTAACAAATTTAATACACTAAAGTTTTCAATATATATAATATATATATATATATATATAACAACAAAGAACGTAGCGGTGTTAATAGAAATTAAAAAGATATTTATAATACCGTTCGTGTGCGATTTCTAATGTTGAGCTTTAAGAGAGCTGCAAAATCCTGAACGATGATCCAACTATATGGCATGAAACTTATCAAACAATAATTAGGGAACACACGTAAGCTTTATATTTATAGATAATCGCTATTTTTGTTTTATTTATTATTCGTTTATTTCATTCATTGTCATTTGATCTAGAGTATTCATTATTTAGGATTAAGGACGATTTCGCAATTTTCCAAATTATTCTTTAAACAAAATAAAAAAAAAATCACTGAAAACTGTTCACTGAAATGGGAATCTAAAAACTTGCAGGCAGTCGGATGATCGTATGCCTTCAGCTTAGGAGCCGCCCATCAAGCTCGACACATCCATTTTTGGACGGTTTCAACACCCTCCCTCTCCCAACTGTCACAAATCTGTCACACATCTCAGGCACCACCCGGCCCCCACCAGCCACCCACCCGCCCGCGCGCCACAATGGACATCACATGTTTGAACTGGACACTTGCTAACAAGTGAACACGGCATCAAAATTTTATCTAAACAAACAAAAAAAAAAACAACAACAAAAAAACAACAACTCTCCTGCTGTTGTTATTAACCTTTTAGATTGATACAAGTGAACAATTCTGCCAGGATAAATCAGCAACAACTGGAAGTTCAACATCACTGTTAAATTTCAAATTTTATTTAAATGAAAATAAATAGGCAATGTGTGACGTCACAGAAGGTCTTCTCCCCTAGGCCCCCCCCCACCCGTGTCACAAAAAGTTACACTTTTTTTAGACCCCCACTCCCCTTCGGAAATTGACGTACTTCAATTATGTATTCTTAACTTTTTAGGAATATATAACTGTAGGTTAATAATGAAGTTTTAACAAAATGGAAGTTTCAGAAAGGAGTGCACATTTAAAAAAAAAAAATTAGAAGATATAAATACATTTTTTTTTAAGTGTTCTAGTTAAAGAAAGATGAAAAACTTTATGACTCTTCTGTTTAAATGAAAGAAAGAGGAATAAGTAAATCAGGATAAATGAGTCACAGTGTTGACCCCGTCCGCCATTTTGTTTTCCCCGGAAGTCCTCTGCATGCATGACGCCAAAAACTGCATTAAGTGGGCGGGGTGACTTTGTTGCCACATAAGCGCAGAGAAGGTAAAGGAACATAGGCCAGGTAACCCTAAACTTTACAATAAATAGTTTGTAACAATCTTCTAAGCCCCTGCACTTATAAACATTACGCATGGATAAAGCACAATCAGTTTTTTAAATCTTATTTAGCTGTTGAAAAAAATTTAATTTTAAAAAATTTATAATTTCTGTGCAAGGAGAACTATTTATCAACTTTAAATTGTGACTCTGAAACATATCTGGCTTCAGTCGTTCAGTCATGTTTCATATTATTTTTTATATTCACTGAAATCTAAATATTTCCGGATTTACCCGATGTTATATTGCATCTGTCTAATAAAAGAAATAAACTTACTTGTAAGGTAAGCCTTTTTAAAAAAAACAGGACAATGAAATTGGTATGGGATGTTAAAGAATGTGCAAGGATAAATAACATTATTTGATCTTGACCAATATTTAACCTTGAAATCTATTACACGTTAGAATCTGACCTGTATTTCTAACTGCGCAATTACAACTTCCAAGTGAATCACTCTTTCCCTCGCGCATGCGTATTGCAATTTTCCGTAACCAACTGCCAACCTACACTGGGCTGCCACACCTTGGAAATTTTCCCAAGATCTTGGAAATTCACTACCCTATTCAGGACAAAAATTGACTTTTTTTTTTTTTTTTTTAAATTCCCAAGATCATTAAAAAAAAAAAAAAAAAAAAAAAAAAATATTTTTTTTTTTTTTGGAAATTTTTGGGTATTTTTTTTTCTTTTTTTTTGTTTTTATTTTTTTTTTTTTTTTTAAATTCCCAAAATTTTAAAAAAAAAAAAAAAAAAAAAAACTCTAATATATTTTCATGATCTTGGGAAATCTTGGGAAATGTTTTGACCATATCTTTGGAATTAAAAAGAAATTTAGTGGCAGCCCTGAACCTACGTATCTTGTCAAAACCGAAAGAAGATCAGTATCCTGTATGGATATTTCACAGGTTGTAACGTTTTTCTCTGAGAGTCTTACGTCGTCTGTCAGTGATCAGCAGTGTTAATCGTAGGTTTAGGAACATTTTTTAAATATTTTATTTAGCTCAGCACTTTCTTTTTGATCCATGTCCTTCAATTTTTTTTTTAAAAAAAATATGTTTACATGATGTCTCCGTCCTGAGTGTTAAATTTCATTTCGCTCCCGTTTTCCATTATCATTTGGCAAGATTCGTGCGTTAGGCACAAATGCTACTGTTGTGGAATTAGCGCGATAGTGGGAAAAGGGTTGTCGGTGCATGGATGCTTCTCTAATTTCCTGGAATTAGGCTTCACCGTAATGATATAATCCGAACAAGTTAGGCAATAGATTGGGGTGTTACGGATGGGTTTGAATGGTATTGTCGGGACATGTGTGACAGTGGGCGGGGGGAGGGGGGGGGGGGCTAGACGATGTGACGTCACTTGAAGTTGCAGTATTTCGAGCATAATTCGTGCACTGCTGGTGACTAGGTCTTGGATTTAAAAGATGGCAGCTGATTCTATTGTTGATGACTTGGGTTGTCGTATATGGCAGCCGGTTTAGAATATTTACATTTATAGTATTTTAAAAATGTTTTTTTTTTCCCTTACAGTTTTCTTTAAAAAAAAAAAAGAAATCCAGCGCATTCTGTGTTTAAGCCGTTCCGTCATCAGATTTTCCTTCCTGGATATCAGACGCGTTTATTTAGTTTAAGACATAGCGTTTAAATTAAAATATTACCGCCTTTGAGGTCAATGTCAAGGTAAGCACAATTATTTATCTGCTCGTTTTCATTTTTATAACGAAGTGGCTATTTGTACCCGGGTACCAGAAGTGAGCGGTTGGGATTAAAAAACTATCTTAAATTTTAATGTTTGTTTTGTAAGATAGTATTTGGTATCAAATCTATACTAATAAAAAGCAAAGCCCTCTCTCACTCACTCACTCATCGCTAAATCTCCAACTTCCCCTGTAGATAGAAACCTGACATTTGGCTTGCTTATTCCTTACAGCTCACATACAAAAGTTAAACATGTTTCATTTCCAAAGTCTATACCGTTTGAGGCCGGGGGCCCATAATGTCGTTTGTTTCCAATATGAGCTTTATAAATAAAATGATCAACATATACTGCTACATGAATCGATGGATCTTGACCAAACTTAATACACATACTCTTGATTATCAATATTCAAATACCGAATGGTACTTAACGCATAATATCCCTACCTCTGGGGCCGGGGGCCCATTTAATTTTTTCTTATATAAGCATTATGAATATCAATATGCTTAGTACTCCGACATGAATAGATGGGTCTTGATCTTGACCAAACTTAGTACACATACTCTTGATTATCAATATTCAAATACTTAATGATAGTAAACTCATAATATTCATACCTCTTGGGCCGGGGGCCCCGTTTCATTTTTTTCTTATCTATTCTAATAAAAGGCAAAGCCCTCACTCACATACTCATCACTAATTCTCTAAATTCCCCTGTAGATAGAAGCCTGAAATTGGGCAAGCTTATTCCTTACGGCCTACTTACAAAAGTTAGGCTGGTGTAATTTTGAAACTCTATACATTTTTTTGCCGAGGGCCCAAAATGTCATTTTTCCTATTGAGCTTTATAACAAAGATAATAAACAAATACTGCTACACGAATAGCTGGATCTTGACCAAACTTAATATACACACATTCGTTTATCCATACTCAAATAACGAAGGGTACTTAAAACATTATATCCATCTCTCTTGGGCAGGGTCCCCATTTCATTTTTTCTAATATAAGCTTATAAATATCAATAGGTTTAGTACTCTTAAATGAATCTTGACCAAACTTAGTACACATACTCTTGTTTTTCCATATTAAAATACCTAAAAGTAAGGAACTCAAAATATCCATACCTCTAGAGTTGGAGGCCCCACTCATTTTTTCTAAAATGGGCTATATTCTCCAACTTTCGCTGTAAATATAAGCCTCAATGTTAGCTGGCTTATTCCTTACAGCTTTCTAACAAAAGTTAAACAGGTTTCATTTCGAAACTCTACCCAGAACGGTCACAACCGGGGCCCCGACTTTTGATTTGTTTTTTTTCTTATATGAGCTATATAAATAAACTTAAAAACAAATACTGCTACATGAATAGATGGATCTTGACCAAACTTAATATGGATACATTTGATTATCCATATTCAAATACCGACGGGTAATTAGCACATAATATTCATCCCTCTGGGGCCGGGGCCCTTTTTCATTTTTTCCTTATATAAGCTATATAAATAGCAATAGGCTTAGTACTCCTACATGAATAGATGGATCGTGACCAAACTGAGTACACATAATCTTGATTATCCATACTCAAATAACGAAGGGCACTGAACTCATAATATCCATACTTTTGGGGCCGGGGGCCCCATTAAATTTTTTATAATATAAGCTATATAAATATCAATAGAGTTAGACAACACCATAGGTTCTATGTGATTAGTTGGATCTGGGCCTAGCTTGGTAGCAATACCCTTCTTAGTCCGTTTTAAAATATTGTTTGATTTAATATTCAATCCCTTCAAGGCCGATCTAGAATTTTCTAGAAACTTCGATAGTTTAAAAAAAAACTATGTCTATGTCATTTATAAACCACTTTTAATATGACAAGTTTTAAATGTATAATTTATGTCAATGATTTTTATACCCCCCCCCCCTAATCTCAGACATAAATAAAACGGTACTTTATTAAATGGGCCCCCAACGGGGCCCCCATATCAATTTAAATGTATTATAATTAGTAGCACAATTTAGTTGTATAATATTTCGCATTCGAGAAATAATTACATAGAAATGTAACTTTTACACGTTTCATGGAAGATATTAAATTTAATCTAGAATGTTCTATACCTTTCTACTGGGAAATATAAGTAGATCTAAAAGCTTACTCAAACAAAATCGCACTGAGCATGATCCCATAGAGAAACAAGATCGTAATGGGACACATCGGTTACGCGTTTTCATCGGGGAACAGGATACCATCGAGATCCCCTCGGGTAACGGGCTTAAACCGGGAGCAGGATCCCATCAGAAAAGGGAAAACATCGGAAAGGAGAGTCCCTAGGTGGAAAGAGATCCCTCAGTGAACGGTATCCTAACGGGATCGGTATCGCATCGGGATCCACTGAGATCAGGATCTCACTGGGATCAAGACACCGACGGGATCGGGATCCCAATGGGATCTGGATTTCCCCCTGGATCCGGAGCAACAAAGAAATAAGATTCCACCGGGAACGGGATAAAACCGGGAAAAGGGATTGCGCCGGGATCGGGTTCAGGATGGATTAGGGACTCGTTAGCATTGGGGTCTTACCAAGATTGGGGTCCCAAGAACAGACCCTAAAAAAGTTGGCATTGATTTGAGACATGTTTGATTTTCGCAAGGGAATGCATTTTATAGTCTCCAGAATATGCGGAAACTTGATAATTTCGCACCCTTTTCTTCTTTAAAAAAGGCTCTCCTCTGCGAAGCGCGGGTATTTTGCTAGTGAAAGATAATTAAATGGACTAAATGTTTTTAAAATTACTTCTTCAGTTTAACTAAAATAAACTACCAGAAATGACATCTGAGGAATAGCTCTGAGTCTAAATGGACCCAGACACGCAGCGCCACCATTCGCACCCGGGTACCATTAGAGTCAATGCTATTCGTATGTCATTTGTGGTAGTTTATTTTAGCTAAACTGAAGAAGCAAATTTTCAAACATATAGTCCATTCAATTATCTTTCATTCGATACCTCATTTTGTCTTACAAACCCAACCATAACATTTTAGATAGTTTTTTAAATCCCAACCTCTCTCTTCTGGTACCCGGAAGCGAACAGTCGCAGCCTTTTTAAAAGCTGTTCAGTTCGTTAAAACATTGTTATGGGTGCCGCTAGTCTTCAAGCTGTGATCAAACAACGAGAGACAGGTGAGTCACTATGGTAACCTTCCGACACCTGTTTAATCTCTGGTCCTTGACGTCTCACTTCTGGTACCGGGGTGCGAACAGTCGCAGCCTTTTTAAAAACTGTTCAGTTCGTTAAAACATTGTGATGGGTGCCGCTAGTCTTCAAGCTGTGATCAAACAACGAGAGACAGGTGAGTCACTATGGTGACCTTCCGACACCTGTTTAATCTCTGGTCCTTGACCTCAGTGACGCCAGAAGTCTCTCAAAGTGAGGGGGGGGGTATTCTTTAAATTATCCATTTTTTTTTTGTGGAAAATTTTAAACTTTTCCTCCTTTCTTTAATCAATATGTCACAAATCTCGACCCCCCCCCCACTTTCCCTTAAAGTGCGTCACATTTTGGAAATAAGCAATTGTCAAAAAATTGACTTATTATTTAACTATTACAGCTTTTAAAGTGAGATCTTCTGTAAGCATACACCCCTCCCAAAAGGAATGTTTAATGTCAATTTCAGGTTTTCACTCCTCCACAAAACAAACAAACAAACAAACAAAAGTTTAAAAATCGTTTCATA